GTTATTTCCCAAGCCAACTACATACCACGACTTGGGGAGAACCTCAAAGTCATTGAAGACACACACACACACGCACAGGCACATACATGCACACGCACACACATGCACACACAGTGCTGCCACCAAGGGGTGGCTCTGGGGAGCAGGTTACAGCTCACTTCCCTCAAAGCCCCTGCAAATAAACACAGACTCTAATAGAAAATATGTGCTTTCTGTGCAAATGCAGCTTCAACTCCAACCCTGTCTTCCTGATCATCAGACCGCCTTCTTGAGGCCCTGACAAGGGAATCCACAGCTCCCTCTGCCCATGCATACTCTCTCACAGTGAATGTGCACTGCCCATCTTGCTGGGTGGAGTTTATTCTGCCTCTTCAGAGTGGTGGACCTCAGAGCTTTGGAAGATTCCAGAGAGAGCAGGGTCTTCAGGATAAGTGCTCTGAGAAGCAGTCTGTTCACCTACCCCCTTTAGAAGTTTCCTGTCTGGATTACTTGCCAGCGGGAGCCAGACCAGAGGGGAGTCCCGTGAAGGATGGCGTGAAGCCACAGGCTTTCTCTTCTGTGCCTAGAGGTCCTCTGGAGCCTGCACTGGTTCCTGCAGGGAAATGGACATGGGCATTTGGTGAACTGAAAGGCACAGGGAGAGTTCAACTCACCCAAAATATAATAACCTGGCTTTCATGTCCCAAAATATAATAACCTGGCTTTCATATCCCTGAGATTTTAAGAGGGAGGGGAAGATCATCTATTTCTGTCCAACTGTGACTGCAGACTGAATTATAATTTCCACATGTCGCCCACAGAGCAGACGACAGTGAATGAGTCTGAACAATAATCTGATACTGGGAGCAAGACAGAAATCATCTCCAAATTGGTTTCTCTTCCACCAGGTGCCTCTCTCAAATCCCCTCGATATGCTGCTGCCAGAATACATTTTTAAACGCAAATTTGGCCTTCTTGTCCTGGCGAATGTGGCTCAGTTGGCTGAATATTGTCCCATGCACCAAAAGGTTGACGGTTCATTTCCAGGTCACGGCGCATGCCCAGGTTGTGGGTTCAGTCCCCTGACAGGGTGTGTGCATGCAGGAGGCAGCCAATTGATGTTTCTCTCTCCCTTCCTTGATCTCTAAAAAAAAATCAATAGAAACACATTTAAATTTTTTTGGCTTTTTCTCCTTGCTCAATGGTATCTTTTGTATCAATAGGTAGAGTTCCAATTTTTTTGTGTCTTTTGTAACATGGTCCTTGCATAGATTTATAGCCTTGGTTTCAATTTGCCTACCCTTTCTATCATCCTCACCCTTGCCCAGACCACACACACGCACACACGCGTGCACACACCAATGGTGAATTTATAATAGCTTCCCAATACATTCTGTTTCCTCTACCCCTCTATCTGGAAAGTATTTCTCTTATTTCTGCCCAATTGCTTGTCTTTTTTTTTTAACTTTTTTTTGTTTTTATTTAATTTTTTCTTAGTTGCTTTTCTTAAAAAAACACATAATTCATCTTCAAAACTGAGTCAGACATTATATCTCCTATGGCAGTGCTTCCCAAACTCATGTGCATAGAATCTCCTGTGGATCTTGTTAAAATGATGATTCTCATTCAGCAGGTCTCTGGGTGAAGCCGGAGAATATGCATTTCTCACAAGCTGGTAATGCTGCTCTTTCTGGTCCAGGGACCACACTTAAAGCAGCAGGTGACATCACCTTCCTCTATTAAAAGTGTTAGATTCCACCAGTTTTCTGAACTCTTCTCTTCTTTGACCATATTTTTGTTGTTGCTCTAATGCTATCTATATATATATATAAAACCAGGCACCAGAACGCTGTAACGACCAGAATGACCGGTTGTTATGATGCCCACTGCGGCCAGCGAATGGGCCCGATCTGGGGGCGAGGCTGGCCAGCCAACCTCCTGCAGCCCCTCCCCCAGCCAGCTCTGCCCCCATCACCTCCACCGACACCAATTGAGGGTGGGGCT